TTGTTTTGTTTTTGAGTATTATCTTTTTTATTATTATTGCTTATGGCTAATTATTAATTTTGTTAAATATAGTTTATTTTGTTTAAGTCTTTGATAAAGAATGAAAATGATTTCCTGCTTGCAGCAAATTATTTCATTAGTTTCATTTGTATTTGCTTTGTCTACTGAGCTTATTTTTCCATTTTTTCTTTATATAGCAGCTTTTAGTTTATTATCTTTAAGTAACTTAGTATATTTTATTTTTTTCTCGTGTTTCTTGACTCGTGTTTCTTGATTTTTTTTCCCATGCTAAAACAGGATTTAGCGTTCTCCATTTACTATGTATCTTAGTTTTATTTTTAGCCATTAATTTTTTTTATGTTCTAAAATAAGAAACAATGACAATACCAATACGTTTTACTACGCTAAACTTACAATTTTATAATTTTACATCAAGTTATAAATTTCATAGTATAATCTTTTAGAGTTAAAAAGTTATGACCATTTAAAATTTATAACCCTCTCATTTTGGGAGATTGAAAACTTCATGGCAATAACTTTCAAAATCTAAAAGATTATTAAATTTTTTTTTTTTTTTTTTTTTTTGGTTTACATTTGTTAATCGTTGTACAGCCCATAATAAAAATAATAATATAAACTAACAATGGCATAAAACATAACAAACATAAACATGGTATCTGAAAAAAGATCGCCAGGATCTTGTCGTCAGAACCTTAAAAAAACATTTAACAAATATAAGATAGAAAAAAAAAAATTAATAAACTTTTACAAAATTGCAATGCAAACAATCTGTGTCTGAAGAAAGATCAAGAGGATCTTCTCATCAGATTTTTATACAAGAGTAAACCAACATATAAATTAAAAAGTAAAAAGTATAAGAACAATAAATAAAATAAGTAGGAATAAACTTCTATAAACATAAAACTTCTATAAACAAAAAAAATATATATATATATTTAACTTTTACTACTAATAATAACTCAATATATTATCTAATGAAAAAATAAGGTTTTTCAGTTTTTTTAAAAAAAGGCAAAAAGTAATAGGTACTTCAAAATTAAAATTCGCCAAAACAATTTTATTTCAAAGGTGTGGCGCTCGATAGGTAATACAAAATTGATTAAAGTTTGTTGGACAGAAAGACTCATTAAAAAAGTTATTATTTCTCAAAATATATTTACTAACAGGTTTAAAAGATCTTTGAATACGGCTAGGAATAAGTTATTTATTCCCATATACAAAAAAAATTTAAAATATTAAATACATTTAACTTGTAAATATTCAGAATTCTTATTTCAATAAAATAAAGCTTCGAATGAGAGAAGCAATTTGCAAAATTGATTATACGGATTGTGCGTTTCTGACGGAGATAAAGACGTTGCCACTTACTTTTTTCTGTACTTCCCCAAGCAATATTAGCATAATTTAAATAACTATGTATAAATGAATAATAAAGTTGGATTAATAGATTCGTGATTTATATATGATGCCCATGTTTTTAGAAATTTTTGTGCTTGTATTATCAATATGGTGATTCCAAGTAATGTTTTCATCAAGATAAACACCTAAAAATTTTGTAACAAAATCTCTTTTTATTTCCTTTTGATCGATAAAGATTTGAGGTAATTTTGATGGGAGAAATCGTTTTTTTGTAATCGAATGAAATAAAACCCATTTTGTTTTATTAGTATTTAAGGTTAACTTATTACACTTGAACCAATTAGATATATGTCTGAGTTCTTTGTTCACTGTTTTCAAAAGTTCATCGATATCATAGTTAGAAAGGAATAAATTTGTATCATCTGCATACATAATGCTTGTTAGTTTTGAAGCTTTATTTAAGTCATTTATATAAATTAAAAAAAGGAGAGGTCCAAGAATTGAACCTTGTGGGACTCCACAGGTTATATTAAGAAAAGTGGGTTTGTAATCATTGTTAAATGGTACAAATTGTTTCGGTTAGATAGATAACTTTTAAACCATTTTAAAATTTTATTTTTTATTCCGTAGTATTTGAGTTTAAAAATTAAAATATGGCGATCGACCGTATCAAAAGCTTTTGATAGGTCAATAAAAACTCCTGTGTATATTGTGATTTTTCGAATGATTTTAAGATTTCACGTACAAATTGGATAATTGCATGTTCAGTTGAGTTATTTTTCTTGAAACCAAATTGATTGATGTAAAGTAGATTATTATCTTGAAAATTTGTATATTCTGTTAAACATAATTTTTTCTAAAATTTTCTTCGAAAATGTGGAGAGAACAGAGATAGGGCGATAATTACTGATTTCAGATTTGTCCCCTTTAAAAATAGGAATAATTTTTGCAATTTTTAATTGTTCTGGGAATACTCCTCGATGGATAGAAGCCCTAAAGATTTTAAAAAGAACAACTTTAAGTTGTTCAAAGCAATCTAAAACTACGTTTCCATTAATTTGATCTGCCCAATTGCTTTATTTTTTTTAGCAGTTTAAATCTGCTCCAATTGCTTTAGTTTTTTAACAGTTTTAAACGGTTTCAAACTCATCAGACATTAATGAAATTTTAAATCTCTTTATAAATTCAGAAAGAGTTAGATAGTAAAATAATTTATTTCATTGACTTAATGTCCTCACATTCAAAATAAGGGGGCCAACTTTTGATAGTAATTTTGTTACCAAGCACTAATCATTGCATTTTTTTTGGAAAATATCATCATCGCAATGGTTTTAATTCTTTACATATTGTTGAAAATATTTTTTAGTACAAAAAGTGTGATACGTGAAACATTTATCTTCAAACATATATAGTTTTGTAAAGTCAATTTTTTCGTGCATTTGGTATTTATAGTCAAACTTTAAGGTGTGTGTGTGTAGGAGGGGGGGGGGGGGGAGTAAGCGAGGGAAGACAATCTCCTCAATATGTGTTAGTTATTGTAATAAAGTATTAGTAAGAAAGTATGTCTTTAAATTAACTTCATCTCAATATTTTTTACATCAAAAATGTAACAAAAACCTACTGAAAAATTAAAACCTCTGTTTTTTATAATAATTATAAAATTATAGATATGTATAATGTAAATATTTTGAAATTCCACCAGGATAGATTATTTTTAAATGTCACAGCTGTATTACCAATATTTATAATAATTTCACGTGTTTACATTTTAACAACTCTTTGACTTTGAGGCACCCTAAATGGTATAAAAATTGATCAAGTGCATTATAAAATAAATATTCTTTACCGTTTACGTATGCATGTTAAATACAAATGATTAAAAAAGTCAACGACCTTTCGTTTTGACCTTTTTGCTAAACTCTGACTCACTGGGCGTTGTGTTAACTCTAAGTTTAAGTAAGCTATGTCATAGATTATCCTGGTCATATTTAAAATATCCGGAAAATATTTTTCTTATAATATCCGGAAAAATATATTTAAGACATATCTGGAAAAATCCGGGAATAAAAACGCTTTTTGTTTATTTAAGAATATCTCATGTGCTTGAAAAAAAATCTTTGGAAAGTATTCTTCTATAAAAAAGAAAAGTATTTTAATGCTTACTTAAATAGAGTTTATAAATTGAATTAAACTAGATTTTTAGGTGAAGTAGTCAAAATAATTTAAGTGATCTTTAAGTGCTGAGTGTTTACATATCGCGACGTTAGAATTATCTTGTGCCATCTCCATGTTTTTGCAAACTGAGAAAATCGATGTCAAAGTTTGAATTTGTTCGCAGCTAAATTGAAAAAATATTTTGAGAATTTAGGTATTTCCTAAGATTTAAAAATGTTTTATTATTAATTTTTAGATAAAAAAAACTTTTTAAAATTACGCTAACGCCCTTTTTTTCGCACCCTCTTTTGGAGATAGAACAAAATAACTTTAGTTTTTAGTAAAATTCAAAAATATTATGTTGTTACATCATATATATTAAACATATTAAGTACATTTTTCAACAACGACATGTTAGAAATTGATGAAATTTTGTTCTACCTGCTAATTATTCTTACGCAGTACCATACACTCCTAATTTATGGGCATGGGCCCCTAAATTAGGGGCATGGGCCACTAGTTTAACGGGACCCTTTTCAAAATATAAGACGCTTTTTGTATTACCTAAAAAATTAAGTTTTTTTTAAATAAAATGAGGCCCTAATTAGGAGAACTTTTAGAAGAGCCTCTAACGACACTGTTCTTACGACTTACATTTACTTTAATTACCTGTAGGCGCCGGCCCTGGACAAGACTAAGACGTCTAATTTAAAACGGAAAATTTGGCTGCGTAATAATAATATAAACGTATTAATATAATATAAACGTATAAAATAAATTATGAAAGGTATATAGGAAAGAGTTATGTTAAAAAAAATGTAATAATAAAAAAAATAACATTATGTAACTATCTGATAATTCACAACAATTCAACTAATCTAATCACAAACTCCATGTAAGATGAACTTGATTTTATTTTTCTTATGCCTGTGTATCCATTAATAGAGTTTAACTTTTTATTAAAAGTTATTGCAAATATTTACAAATAAAAAATTGTTACTCAAGTTAACGTCAGAAAGAGCATCAGGTTGTGAAACATTGCTTTAACTCTTTCATAGTGGCCTTTATGTCACTATGGAAAACCATCCAAACCAAACAAGTGGGGGAAAATGAATATAAAAGTACAAAAAAACAAACAAAAAAAACACAAGCTAAACAAAAATTTTTATCAAGATTTCAAAATAATATTATTTCAATGTGTTTTATATTTATATTTATACTAAATAAATATTTTATTTAAATATGTTATTTATATGTATATTATTTATATTATTATATATATATATATATAAATATGTTATTTATATTTATACTAAACATATAACAACCCTAAAAATATTTTGACTTTATTAATGTTTTGTAAATGTTCAATTTATTATTGTTTTATAAAATGCAATATCAACAGCAGGCATGTATGAATACATGGAAATGATATCATTGGCTTTTGCAACAGATATAGACTGATAAGAAGCACGAAAGCAAGCTGCCATTGGTATATTGGTATTTAATGGTTTTGCAACAATGGTTGATGCTGCTTTCTTGACAGACTTATTTATACGAGCTTGTGAATAATTATCTGAAAACGAGGTTTTAAAAAAAACATGGTATGGCAGTCCGTTTCGATAAACAAGATTTTTAACCTTTGAATAAGGCACTAACTTATAACTTGACAAACCAGCGACAACTGAAAAATTCTTTACATCTTCTAATTGCATTTGGTGAACACAGAAAGGTTTTTTACGGTTTACATTTTTAATAGCTCTTTCTAGCCCAAGTGGACTAAATATTTCTGCAGCAGAGAGGGATTTTTCAATCTGACTATGAATGTTGTCACATTCTTGAATGCTGGAATGACCTGGCTCGCAGAACTTCTGTTCAATTACTTTTATTTGTGGGTATCGTATTATAAATTCACACAAAGCTGCTGACATGAAGCTATTGCGGTTTTGTGGTACACATGAATCGAACCAAAGTATGAACTTATTTATGTCAAGGTATTACAGCACTGGCTAGATCATTTCCTCCAGTTAAGTTATAATTTGAAAGTTTTCGTTTGTAATAAAAGTTTCCCACATTAGCTCTAGGCAAATTAAAAACATTTTCAAGGTCAATACAAACAATTGCAGTTTTAGAATCAACATTTTGGCGATCATTTTCACGTTCAGTTTTGGTATCATTCCTTGATTTTATGTGCTTATTATAACTATCTATTTGTTCATTGCTTGCATTAACAATGTTGCGATACTCATAGCATGTGTCACATAAATCTTTCTTCGGTTTTTGAAATTCTATATTGAACTCGTGATTAAAGATATAACGATACATATGTTCTTTTGCTGGAGGAGAGACATTTTCATCACAATATATTTTATAAAGACCATACATTCTACCTATATTTAGTGATCCTTCCATGTATTTTTTATGTGTCTTTTTCCTGCTATAATGAGCATCAATTCTTGGGAAAAGGTTAATATGGTCTCGTACAACTTGTTTAGACTCTTCTAGTAACCTTTTTTTAACATGTTTCCCTGATTTTGATTGCAATGGTGTTCCAGTAGTTAAAGATTTATTAAACTTATGAAAGTAAAACACTCTATGGCTGCTAATATTCAATGTTGAAAGATAATATGATTTACAAACTCTATATTGTGTATTAGAAACAAAAAAGCTATAATAATAAGATGTTTTTCTTCTTGAATTGTCACCAGCAGCTGTCCGACAGCGTTTTTTCTCCAGATTTTCAGTAGTTTTAGAATAGAAATGTTTTTTTCCGTCATCATCTAAGGTCCAAAAGTTATCAAATATTATTTGACGCTCAATCTCAGATATATTGGTAGAACATTTAAATTTACAATTTCTGCAACTTTTTAGGGGTGATACTAATCCGCGGAAAATGAATCCGCGGAAAGTTTTGTCGTTTTTTGTCGTTAAAGTTAATAAAATTCCGCAATTATGAATTTTTGTAAAATTAAACCCCAAAAAGAAGTTAAATATGACCAATATAACTGTAGTTTTATAATTCATTTAATAAATATATAAAATAGTATGTGAAAAATATTTTATGAAAAATTAAAATGTAATTTTGCGTTTTTTACGTTTTTTTTTAATTTTCAAAAACTGCCTAAACGACTCATTACCAGTAAGAAACGCATGTTTGAAACGTTTTTTTACTGCAGAAGATGCCCAAACTAATATTGTTTAAAAAAAAAGTCATGAAAAGTTTTATTAACTTTAACGACAAAAAATGACAAAACTTTCCGCGGATTCATTTTCCGCGGATTAGTATCACCCACTTTTTAGTGCAACAATAGATCTTTTTGGCATTTGTTCTCCTTTCGTATTTTTATAAGCTTTACCCGACTGACGTTGGATTTTTCTTACACTTTGTTTCCAACTACTCCTATCAGCTTTACGTTTCCTAGAAACCCCACCATGGGGCGACCGACGAGAAGGTGTAATGCCAAGCAGCTCTAACGATTAAAACATTAATTTTTTATTATCCAGGATGTATAAATAATAACTTTTAAATTTAATCTAAAATGGCAAGCGAAAGTCGAATTCTACTTTTCCAAAATTATAATACAAATTAAGTTGAAAAACTACCTTCGTTTTGATTTAGGGCAGGTTCCATTTCTTGGTCAATATTTGCAGTTGCCATTTTGAAAACAACAAAACTGATAAAATTATTCCGAACAACTTTGTAATTGTAATATGATTGGTTGATTGGAGATAGAACAAGATAATATTTTCAAGTTTGCTCATTAAGGAGATAGAACAATGCAATATTGCATGCAATACCGTGTTAAAAGTTTCATTTTTTTTCAATATAATTAAAGTAGAACAACACAATGCTAAAATATTCGAAAATAATAAAATCTCAATTTTTTCAAAAATTGGAGATAGCACAAGATAATTCTAACGTCGCGATATCTTAAATAATCCTTAAAAAACAAGTTTCATATTATTTAAACGTTCCAAAACAAAGTATTTATCAAAGAATAAGCAAAAAACTTTTTAATAAATAATTTTTAACGCCATTTTTTTTTCTCGAAGGTAAGTTTTGATTTTAACACCATTTTTTTTCTTGAATGTAAAGTTCAGCATTATTTATTTTTTAAAAAATCTTTTTTTTTAAATAAGATAGAGATATATGGCAAAACAATAAACGCTTTTTTGCTAATATCTCAATAAATAAACTGCCCAGTGAGAAAAAAGACATCTTTAGACGAATAAAAAGCGTCTTTTTTATGACTTGTTATGTCTTTTTATGATCAGGCAAAATAAAGACGTAGAAAGTCGTCTTTTAAAAAGACGTCTTTAAAAAAGAGGTCGAAAAGACGTCAATCGGTTGTTAATAAGGAAATCATTATTTGCTAAGAAAATTAAAAATAATTATTGCCAATAGAGTCTAACAAAAGTGAGTTTTAACCCACAGTATCGTAATTACGATATAATTGTTACGTTCTGATTGGCCCGTTTTTTGTTTACAAAATACTTTTATTTAACTTTTTTAATGTGAAACGCTTTTGCATAGGAAATTTAACTTTTTTCGGTAAGCGGGTTTATTTAATAATTTATATAATAAAGTAATATATTATGTAAAATATACATAATATAAATGCATATATTTATTATAGTATATATATATATATATATATATATATATATATATATATATATATATATATATATATATATATATATACACACTGAAAAAAATATACAATTGCAGCTGCTTAGCTAAAAAATGTTAATCGGAAGAAGCAAAAGTGGATGGCGTCGTGACAGTAAGATGGTATCGATATGATCTAGTCTCAATTAAGTTAGTCGCAGGTAAGTGTTTAAAAAAAGTTTTACCATTTATTTTTAGACTAATTTTTTAATTTTTGTGCTTGAAGAACGTTGTTTAAATGTTAAACACTTAATTTCAGCGAAATTCAATTAAAAAATTATGTTATAGAAGACAGAAAAATATCAATATCTGTTTTCAAAAACTTGGTTTTCATAGCAAATCTGAGAGGTGCAAATGTTTAGCTTGATTTAAGTACTACATAATAAAATACATCGTCGTACAATCATTTTGATGGTTGTAAATTTATTTAGCACACTCATTTTTATATTTTTTTAGACTGTTTACCGTTTAACTCCTGTCCCAATCTAATCTAGTGGGTTCAAAAAGAAGGGACCGCGCTGGAAACATGAGTGGATTAAAAGGATCAGCCCTTTTTAAATTAATAGTTGGTAAGTATAATGTGCTTCACTCAGCTAATTAAGTTTCGTTTGCTTTTTTTGTATTACATTTATACAATAGACTGTTTTTTATGTTCACTCTTTTTTTAGAAGTGGTAACCAGCTAAAAGTCGTAACCTGCTCGTATGAAAAGATTTCTCGACGTGAAATTGTTAATTTTATTAAACGCCAAAAAACAGAATTCGCTCAAGAAACAGAAAAGAAAAAGAAAGATGAAAAAATATTCTGTTGAACAATACTATTGTTTTATTTATAAATTATTCTCCTATATTTAAATATATAAAAGATGTAGAAAATGTGTCTTTTATTATATTGACATCTAAAAGAGGTTTTTTTCTCGGCATCGGAAAAAGCTTTTTGTCATACTTTGTATGAAGAGCTATTATCATTTTCATTTGAAAAAAATAGCTTTTTATATATGAAAAGTAGGAATACTATAGTGTATAGGATACTATAGTATACTAATAAGTATGGCAAAAAAGTCGTTCCGACCCCGAGAAAAAACACTTTTTTAGATTTGCAAATTAGACTAAAAAAAAGCGTCTTAAAGGCGCATTTACCCTTAATCTTTTCATGAAAAGACATAAAGTCTTTTCATGAAAAGATTAAGGATAAAAAAAGACGTCTTTTCGATGTCGAAAAAAGATGTCTTTTAGATTTGCATAATCGCTTAAAAAAAGACGTCTTAAGACGTCGTAAATAAGACTTTTAAAGACGTCTTTTTTCCCACTGGTTGATTTGATAATTTTAATTAACTCAAAAAAAGCAATTATTTTAACTCAGCGTTTTTTTCCAATTATTCCAATTTGTCTTCATACTTGGGAATCCTATTATTAATAAATATACGTGTACAAATAAGAAAAAAATATTTGTAAGAATAGTGCCTCACCTAAGTAAAATATAACAAAGTAATTGATGAACGATAGATTTACTGTTTTAATTATTTGATAACAAAAAAAAAAATATTATTAATATTATATTTCCAGAAAACTAATCGGATATATGGAAAAAATAAAAATGTGTAAAAATATCAGAAATTCCGGAAATATCCGGAAAACGATAACCCCTGTTATGTCAAATGAAAAATGTCTTGCAAAAAATCACGCTGATTTAAGCCTGGAAAAAAAAAAAAAAAAAAAGACTTAAAGTTCGCTCCCACTACCCCCTGAACGTAAGGCTATTAGTTAGTAAAATATAAATTTTAGCATAATATATAAATTTAAATTTATCGACAGGCTTTTAATAACAATGTTTTAACGTTTAAAAGTTATGAACATGTAAAAACCCCAAGATTATTAAATGCACTTCAAATATAAGAGAGAGACTATATAGCAAAACCTTAACTTTTTATTAGTCTAATGAAATAATTGCTAGACTTTTGATAAAAGAATTTTCAGCTTTCATTACATAACGAACAATTTCGAAACCTTCTGCTAATAACAAAAATTTCTCAAAAATAACAAAAAATTGAGAAAATTCTTATTTATTGATATTTATAAATTAAATAAAATATAGAACGCGTACAAGGTTTTTTTATTTGATTTGTATTACTAATTGTGTTAAATTTAAAACATAAAAATATAAGAAATAAAATTTTTTCATTTTTTACTTATCTATATTTCTTTGAAATAAAAAAATTCTCGCGCCTATCGCATATAAAAACCTCAACACCGTCGAAAAAAGATCAAAGATTTAACCAATGCCACAATCTTTTGACTATCGTTACAAAATAAATATCATTAAACAAACATATTGTCATGAGGGGTAAGGCGAATCTAAAATCACTTGCAGGCCAAAAGTCATATAGTCAACCATTTGCGCCAGAGAACTAAAAATACATATAAACATCTAAAAAAAAAGATGGCAACTACCTAATATGTAAATTTATTTAAAAATAATAAATAAAAATCATATTTGAGGATCGAAATGTATTAAAGAACATGCTCTTAGTACCTGATGTTTGGTACTTTAGTCAACTTTATTATTTTAAAGGAAACTTAACTAAAACAAGAATCATAATCGGCACAGTAAACTAAAACAATCATACAAGGCACAGTAAACCAAAAAACAGAGTAATTCGTGTTAATTAACCAAGTTCTATAAAGTCTAAATCCTGGTTTATAGTCAAGATTATGTTTGCATAGTATAAGCAACTTAAAAGTTAAAAAAATGTCCTTATTTTTAGGACAATTTTTATTGACAATAAAGCTGATAAATTTATTTATTTACTAATGTTGTAAACAGTAAAAATATTTTAACATTAATTTACTTTGCATCAGACGTAGCTCCATTTATAGACTCCATTAGGTCAACTCCAATTCCATTATAGGTCAACTATATTTTGTGTGACCCTCATTTAAAAATAAGCTCTTGCAAATTATTTATTTTCAGAAACTTTAGTGTTTCTTAAGGTAAATGAAAAGGTTTTTAAAAGTTTCTGAAAGTTAATTGTTTCAAGACATCATCTTATAAAAATACATTCTCATTCATTTAATACTAATTTTTAACACCAGAGCAAAATATTTTTGTGTTAAATATTATGTTAAATATTAAATTATCTATATAAAATATACAAATTATGTTAAATATTAAATTATCTTAAATATTTATCTCTAGCCTGCTCATAATTTTTTAATTTCTCAAATATACTAAAATAAACAGGAATTTTAAAACTATTTTTATTAAGTTTAACAACTATCATCACAACTTTTATATTCAAGTAATTTTTTTACGAGATTTTTTTTATCTGTAAAAAAAACAAACCCTATGTAAACTTTTTAACGCCCTTTCACATACATACGATTATATGTTTTATTATCTCTTAAAATATAATTTTTATTACATCGTTTATATACATTCTATAAAGCAAACATGATTAGAGTTGCAACTTGAAAAAAAACCAACGCGATTTAAAAAAAATAAAAAAAATCCTAAAAACATATTTTTTATGGTTTTTTTTAGTGTTCTTTAAATTTTAGATGTTAAGGAACCTTGAAACATCTCATATAAACTTTAAAACATGTTTTTTGTTTAATATAATGTGTATTACCCTATATATTAGCTATAACCATTTATACATCAATGTTAAAAAAAAACACCTTTTGTGAAAAATTTTGTTTTGTAAAGTTACTCTTTTATAATACTACTGTATTAAATTTTAAACATAGTTAAGGTATGTCCATTAGTTATTTCAATAAAATAGGGAGAAGAAGTCTGAAATTTTTTGACGATTGTTGACAAGAGGAAAGGAGGAAGTCAAGAAAAGTTGACGCCAACAACGATACTTTATAAAAAAATTAAATTACTGAAAAAAAAAAGAAAAAAAAAAAAAAGGATGTGTTCTTCCATTTAATATTCTTAATGAGGTTAGGGAGGGGGGAGGAGAAGAGATGTAGTCAAATGTTGACATAATTTTATAAAAGAGGAGGGAAGCGGGCTCTGGAATTTTGACAAATTGTTGACAAGGGAGAGGGGAAGGTAAAAATTGCCAAAAAATTGTTGACATAACTAATGGACAGCCACGAGGTAGATTTTGAAGTTCAACTTTGTTAGTCTGTGATAGGTATTTTCGATCTTGTTGTTTTGTTATTCATATTACTACGTTGTTCATATACCCCAACTGTCCAATACACATACCCCAAGACTGTCCAATACACATACCCCAAGACTGTCCAATACACATACCCCAAGACTGTCTGATACTGCTAGTTAAACTTTATTGCTTCCATCAACAAATACAACAGTTAAAAAATCCTTTAGTAGACAATCTTTAATCCACAATTAAAAGCAAAATAGATTTTGATTTTAAATACAGGTCCAAATTTAGACAAAAGCACGGGTTGGTACAGGGGTGCCCACAAAATTAGGGGTCTCAAAAACTAAAGTTAAAAAAATTGATTTGTGTTTTATGATGCACCTGGGCGAAGCAACACAAAAAAATTTACTGCAATTTACACTATGAATAACTTGGCATGCCAACTGCATCAGCAGTCATGCACAACATTTGAACGAGACCAAGGCCTTGTTATGACTAACAATCTGAAGGTTAAAAACAAGTCTTTATGGCTGCATCAGCTGGCAACTGAATGCTTGGCAAGCTCAAGAAAGCCTTTCGAGGTCATAGCACTTAGAACTTGCATTTGTTTACTAATGTTATAAACATTAGCAAACAAACTGAAAAAACAACTGAAAGCACAACTTGTACTGCATAAGCTGGCAAGATCAAGAAAGCTTTTTGAGGTCGTAGCACTTAGAGTTTGCAGTACAAGCCACCATTTCCAGCTCAAAACATAGCCAAACTCGAAACAAGTTCAACACCGAGCCACAAAACATACTGCCAACTTAAAACACATGCCTTATATTCAGAGACTATCAAGAATGAACTTGACAAAAATAACAGAACAATGAGAAAGAGGAGACCTTATTGAACAATACAAAACCATCAGCAAAATTGACAAAGTTAACTCCTCTGTTCCTCAGTTTCAACCAAACACCGAGTCTTTAAAGTACAGTCTCCGACAACATGGACACACAAAACAACTGAAAGCACAACTTGTACGAAACTATGCAGAAAAAAACAACTTCCTCATTAACCATGTTGTCAAACCATGGAATACTTCTACCCAAAATGCAATGGACTCAAAGAACCTGAATAATTTTAAATATGATCTTTCTTTGCTTCAGCGTAACATAAAAAACAAAGAACCTGAATAATTTTAAGTGTAACTCAAAGAACCTGAATAATTTTAAATATGATCTTTCTTTGCTCCAACAACAACATAAAAAACAACAACAAAAAACAACAGAAAACATGTTTTTAAAAAAACGATTATTTTTCCAACTCAATACATAATGTCTTTAATATAGCTAAAAAAGAAAAGTTTTCCAGCTGTTTTCCTGTACTGTAAATTCATAGTAATGTAGATTGCGACTGAATCAACTAAACATTTACTTAAGTTAGATTTTTACTTGTTTGGATCAGACTACAAGATTTCCTTAATTTCGTACTTAAAAATTTTAGCTGCTTTTATTAATTAGGAAGCTTAAGCAGTAAAAAAAAACGAATAACCTAGAATTTTGAGCTCAACAAGAAAAAAGAAAAACCTTTCAAAGATGTGTGATTATATAAATATAAAGTAGTTCATGCTGGTTAAATGTAATCTGATTTTAGCTGTTACAACTAGTAAAAGATAAAATACTTATAAAAAAAGTCACAAAAAATTAATTAACTAAAAAAAGAGTTACATAAAAGTTTAATTATGTTCAAATTTAGAACAGAAAATTGAAATTGTGTGTGTGTTGGAGCGCCGCCTTGCTGAAATATGTATTTTTTTGCTGAGTATCCACCACCTTGTTGCCTTGCTTTTGAATAGCATTCGCAAAACTTTTATCAATTTTTCAAATCAAATTTCTCAAACCAAATTTTACAATTTATAAATCTTTTTTTGCAGATTTTTTACTTTGTAACCTGAAAATTCATTGCTCGAAATCACCTTTTCCAATCTTCTGTCTCATGCAAATGCTCTTTGCATCATTTGTCTTATGCAGCAATTCATGATGACATGATAAGTTTTTTTACTGCAATGTAAGACCCAACACCTTTTTTTGCTATTCTTATAACAAGTTCTATGCTTACATTTCAATTAAAAAAAAAAACTGGTTGAATATATGCCCTAACTTTTTGTTGTTAAGGATTTGTTCTGCTGTTGCTAAGGATTTGTTCTGTTCTGAGCAACCTATCTTGACACTTCAACAGTTTAAGCTTTTTTAACTTCTAGAACAAGACATGTTGATGCATCACTCCTCAGCATCCAGGTTTCTCTGTTTTTAGCATGCAAAATTCAAAAATGCAATGCTTTTTTTTATTCGAAAAGTAATTTATTTGGTGCTCTGATTTTCAACACATTTGTCCTCAAATTTAAACTTGGCATACTCTGCAGTTTGACAATTTTTTAGCAATTAAAATAGTTTTGTAAAGTTGATATCATTTTTTTTAGTTAAGCTTAATAAATACTCATTACTCAAACCAATAAAAGCAGTAATTAAGTAAAATATTTATCAGGTGTCAAAAAAGGTATAATTAATAAACTTGATTAAACTTTCATATGTAAAATGACAAAATGACTATTGAACTAATATATAAGTCAAATTTCTAAAAAGTTATCTCTTGTAACTTTCTTAACTGTAAATTTGCATATTGTAAATTTAACCATCATTTACTAGAATACAAATTATCATGCAATATAAATATTATTCAATATTTTGACATTAAGTAAAAAGAACAAAAATGATTTTAATAAGTTAGTCAATTAAGCGTGAAAAAAGCTCAATTAATATATGAATATATTTAAGTTGACATTTGTAAATTTAACTATTACGTTCACTTTTTAATTTATTATTACTTTAATTAAAAACTTAAAATAAAATTGTTAACTTTTCCAGGTTTTCCCTAAATAAATTTTATTAATTACCTATAAAGCGTAAGTGGACCAACTTTCCGAGTTACATCAATGATAAAATCTAACAAAAAATTTAAGAGATTTCAAATATTTTCAAAACTGCTGTTTTTCACTGAAAATACAAGCTTATCATATTACCTTCACAGAAAGGCATTAATGTTTCTTATTAAAAATATAACTATATTACCTTAACAGTAAGGTATTAAAATTTCTCATTAAATATACAATCATATTACCTTCACAGTAAGGTATTAAAGTTTCTGCATTACTCCATAAGCGATGAGCTTCTATTATATGTTTGGTGAACTCTAGATATTGCAATGACTTTTCGTGCATGTCTGATGGGATGCTAACCATAGCCAAACCTAAGTTTGTTTTACTATCATTACTACTTGCACTGCTGGAGCTACCAGCGCTTCCATTAGACCCAACACTTTGACCGGGAGAAGGTCCAAAACTTGGTGAAGAAGGTAAAGGTGTGCTAGCATTACTATATAAAACATATAAAAAATAAAATCACTAAAACTTTTCAGTCACAAATGAGGCCTCATTAACAGATAACTTCAAACAGTTACAATAACCTGCATACAAAAAAAATAAAGATTTTTAAAAATATCTTCTTTTCAATAAGGATCTACTTAATATGGGATTAACAAATAATTGTACATACTTGATTCATATTACTTATGACATTACAAAGAAAAAAAAAAAAATTCAAAACTGTTTTGCAAAGGATTAGAAAAAAAACAAACAAACATTTTGCAACCATATCTGATTGTACATAATTATTAAAAACATTTAAAAAGCATAATTTCTTACACTGTAATTAGAACAGTATTTAAAAAAATTACCCCTCAGCTAATTGTGTGCTTCTTGACGAAGGTTTATATTGCTATAATAAAAGCTTGAGAAATTAATAAGATATAAAAGAGGTTAACCAAAAAAAAAAAAAAAATTAGAATAACAATAATAAAGTATTATTAGAAACTTATTTTTAAAATGCTTACTGTAAAATAATCTGTCATAATTTTTTTCACTTTCCATACTGAATCACTCCTTGTCTTAAAAAGTTTCATGTGTAACATACTTTGAAGACGAAAACTAAAAAATATAATTAAGTTAAATATAAAAATATCACAATATTTAATAATTAAATTAATTGACATATTAAATATCGTAAGTATACAAATTTAATGCAATTAATGCAAACCAATTTAAATGGTTTGACATTTAAATATCTTGCTTGTTGCAATATTTTCAAAATACTTTTGAATTAGCCACACAAAAAATGAGAAAATTTTATTTTTAGCTTGTAGTTTTTTTACTCCTAGATTTAAATTATTTTCAATTTAATAATTGAACCCATACAAAAAAGTATCAAGTCATTGTTGTTTTTATTGTTATATAAAACTAGGTAATTTTATTAGATAAAATTATATTTTTTGAAATTTGCTAAAACTCATTTGAAGTTGTGAGTCATCTTAAAACGTATTAAAAGTATTCTAAATTGGTTAAATTTCGTCATTTTAAAAATTCTTTTATGATATGTAATTGTTTCAGGCATTTTGAAAGAATCCTAACTTGTATTTCTGGAAAATTTAACGGATTTCTAGAAAAACTAAATGTATAAAAATAAAATCTTAATGCAGTGCGATATTTCTGAAAACAATACAAAAACACATAATCCGACATCACATTTGAAAAAAAGTAACATGATTCTTTTTGTGGTTTGCTTGGTTTATTAAAACATACTTTGCAAATTCATTATCTTTGTGTACAGCAGCTAGTATCTCACTTGGGTAATGGTTAGACTCTGCAAGTTAAAAAGGATTTTCTTTAAGTGTTGGGCGCCTACTTCTATTCTGTATTTTAAAGCTGTTTTATCTTTAGTTAAAAATAAAGAGCACCAAGTTTAACATTCTTTCTGTTGTGAATGATGCTGATTCATGTTTACTAAATGACTAAATGCCTTTTTACACCATTTTTGATCAGGTCAAGTACAATGTTCTTATTTGATTTGAACAATTTACACTGCCCATGAATTGATTGTACTCCTGTATAACAGTTGGTATTTTGGCTTAAATGCCTCATCTAGTTACATATGCTCACCATGAATACATTTCTTTTGTCTTTCCAATTTAAAAAAACGATTCCTAATGTGTTCATACTCTATTACTCTTTCTTCGTGCTTTAATTTCACTTTTTTTTACTGATGGTGGTATACTTTAATATTCATGACAAATTGTACCAGCTATATCAGTAGAATTCTCTTTGAGTATTTTGCAGACTTCTATTGAGGTGTATTATTTATCTAAATAAATCCAATGAAAAACTATCTATAATAAATCTAACAAGTTATCAAGAAAAGAAAAGAAGATGATTTTATAAGAATAGTATTCTACATTATGAATGTCTATTTCTGTGTCTGCTCCCATTTTAATAATTCCAAATATATCCAGTATTACTCAAAACAAATAATTTCTGTCCAAAGCGTTCACTTTTTGTGCAGATAAACTGTTTCCAGCTTAGAAGTCCTTAAAAACCAGATATTACAGATTCCTGGATACCTGGCTCACTATGAAATATTTGGCGATTTACAGGTTTTTAAAATATTTGGCGATTTACAGGGTTAAGCATTATAATACATCTCAAAGAAGAAAAGTGACGATTGCATTTGTCATCAATACATGGTGACACCCAATTATTTGTACCTTTATAGTCTACATAGCTAAACCACCTGCTATTTTTGCCTGGTTAATAAATTTTTATAAAATTATCACTACTTACAATATATCATCATAACAATACATAAAAAGAATTTTAAATTAAAAGAACTTTGTGAAAAATAAAAAATTGTAAAGAAAGTTTTCAGTAGATAAAAACAAGCACTGTAAAGAGAAGAACCTGCAAATCGAAGTTTTAAAGAGATGTAAACTGAATCTTGACGTGTAAAAAGATGAACTGAATCTCAAGTTACACGGATAAGAATTACAAATAATATTTTTAACATGTAGAATAGAAAACATTCAAGTTCCTATGTAAAATAATATATTTTCAAGGTTGTTTTTTAATGTTAAATAATATTTTTAAGGCTTCCTAATTTTCAATAATATTTATACTATAGTTTAGTATAAAAATGAAAAAATTGTATTTTGAAAATCTCAAAGAGAATTTTAACTCAAAACTACAAACATTGATAATTTTCCATGTACAGTTCTGCAATACTATTTGCAATACTATTTGCAATACTTAAATTATTTGAATGTAATTAAAAATTTCAAGATGAATAAATTTATTGTTTTATTTTACTAAAATTTAAAAGTATTTTTAAAGAGAAATCAAACTACATACCATAGAAACAAAAACCTACGATCCGATCTGTTAGAATCATTTGTCTTTCGTCTGCACAATTCAACTACATAACTAAAAGTTATTAAAGATGATCATAGTGTATACACTTATAAAAATTCAAACAGTTTTTATTTTTAACACAAATATATACTTACTCTATTAAGCGAATACAATCACTGCAAATACGCATTAGCTCATCAATTCCTTGTTTTGTCATTAGTTTACCCGCTACTTCATAACCAATTAGATACCTGATGTAATTTAGAACTGCTTCAGTGTAAGTATGTGCACGTTCCATAGGACTTTTCTAAAAAAATATAAAAAAGTTAAAATTTTTTTCAAAGCAAAAGGGTATAAAACTTAGCTAATAAAAAAAAACTTACAAGATTATCTGCTTTTCTTTTTTTCATAACACCTTCATTAAGAAAAGGTCGGTAAACTTTATATCTACGATATAAAAAAAACACATGAATGACACTACAAGAAAAAACAAGTTACCAGACCAATTAACCTAAAAGAACCAGGCAAAATCTTGAAATTAAAAACACAAGATCAAAAATTTATATGAAATGCTGTGCATATACTTCTTGGCAGCAACCTTTACTAGAAAGTATAAGCCTGTTTTATTTAACTTCTTTAGTATTAATTCAATATGCACAAATTCCTTAATTGCAAACTTCTGTAAATATGGGAGAGAAGACTTACTATAAATCTGGTTTTAATATAAGACTAAACACATTAACACAACTTGTGCAATATTTTGTACAAAAAATTTCTTTTTTTTTGTACAAAATATTGCACTTTCAATTTTGTACAAAATATTGCATTTTCAAACTTTGAACACAAAAATAATTAGCATTATTCTTATGTTCAAAGTTTGTAAGCGAAATAAATTTTTTGTTCTACCATTTGTAGATTTTTTATATAAATTAGATACAGATATTAGATAAGTTTTTTTATAGTGTGGTAATTTTTGTGTCATCATAGTGTAACATAGTGTTGATAAGTGATTTTTAAATGTCATCATAGTGTTATTCTTTGAAAGAAATAATTTTTCGTATATGCTTAATATTATCAAAACTTTACCAACAAAGATCGGTGGAACTTGTTGATTCTAATGATTGAAAGGTTAGCAAAATTGAAACCATGCATATAAAAAGCACTCTCTGTCATATAAATTGTTTTTATAAGGAAGTTGATTTTGAAGTTTTGAAAGATATTTCCAAAATTAAAAAAATTTTTGTTCAGACGTTTTTCTTAAAAAATCTTTTTAAACAATTTGTCTAATTTAAGTGTTTTTAACCAATGAAGATATTAAATTTCAGTTTATAATGTTTTTGAGCAATAAATGTAATAATGCCACTCAGAAACCTATATCACAAGCAACACAAAGATTAAGCATCATTAACAAAATAATTTCAATAACCAAATTCCTTTTAAATTTAAATTACTTTTAAATGCTATCGCCTCATCTATAGTTGAAGAAGCTAGCTTTTTTAATTTTATTGTGGCTACAACCCTCTCAAACTCTGAAACACAAACTTTGACATGCAAAGCCCCATAGTGGAGAAACAAGTTGAACGCAGTGCTAGCAGGGACATGATGGCAATCGAACTTATGAAGCAAGAGCTCTTGCTCTACACCACTACCGCATTCAAATAAGTCACAAAATCATTTCTAATATTCACAGTCAGCAATAATTTAACTTGCCAAAAATAATATCAAACCAAATTTTAACAAAGAATCAGATAGTGTTGATGTCAAATCATTGCAGAAGAAGTTGCCAAAAAAGCCAATAATGAAAACACTGGTGCAACAACTCATAACAAAGATAAAATTAAATTTAGTAAATTATAGGTCAGGGTGACCATTTATATATGTCCACATTATCATTGTTTCATATTTGTCACCATGATTATCGTTTAAAAATATATTTTTCCTAATCTACTAAATGAATTTTATTTATTTTTGTTTACTTAATTATTTAATTTTATGTTTTCAATGTTTTTAACTTCTTTGCATCATGTTTCACTAAAAATAAATTAAAAAAACACTAAAACTGAGCACTTTTGGATTAAAAAGTTTTTAAAAACATTTACTTCTGCCTTTTTGTTAAGTTACACATGAAAAATACCCATTATAATAACTATGAGAAACTTGTCCCACCAAAACCCAAACTTGTTAAGAATTTATATATAATAAATAAATTATTAAGTAAAATCCCAAAAAATTATAACATGTTTGTTGGCCCAACTCTAAATGGTCATCCTGCCTTAAACTTATGATCTAGTTACTATATATCTTTATCTGGTTATAATGTTATAATGCATTTCCATTTTATACTTTGTACTCGTCTACTAGTCTGCAGGATATTCTTCTTCAAGATATCCTTCAATGAATAAAAATAAAAAGGAAAAAAAAAGAGGATATTATAGTATCCTGTATATAGTCTGCAGGATATTCTTCTTCAGGATATCCTTCAATGAATAAAAATAAAGAGGAAAAAAAAAATTTATATATAAAAGCAGATTACAATAGCATTAATGATTTACCTACAAGTTTAGATTGGCTACAGTGTTTTCATACCAAGAATGTTCAAGAAATGTATGATGAGTTAATTCATTATACTGAAGAAATGTGTAACTTATATGTTCCTATAAATTCCTCTAGTTCATCATCAAAGAAACTATACCTGAACAAAGAACTTATCTCACTCATTAGAGAAAAACAGAATTTAAGATACAGAAATTGTTCTAGTAAATGGGAAAATTCAAAAGTTTGTAACCAATATAAACAATTATCAAAAAGAGTGTCATTTGAAATTTCCATTGCAAGACAAAAATAGGAATCAACGATTGAGGAAAAAGTTAAAAAGAAACCAAAAGTACTATATAAATATATGAATTCACAACAATATGTAAGAGACTATAGAAAAGCTCTGCTACAACCAAACGGTGAAATAACCCAGGATCCAGAAAAGATTACTGATCTTCTAAATATAAATTTCAAAACATTTTTGTCAAAGAAAATAAAAAGTGTACTCCATTATTCAAAACAAGAATCAATGATACTACCTTTAATTTAACTCCTGAAGATATCCAATATGAAGACATTCTTAAAAGGCTAAATAATCTTGATTAAAACAAAGCCTACAGAGTCGACAAGTTACATCCATCTATCTTAAAACAAAGCCTACGGAGTCGACAAGTTACATCCATCTATCTTAAAACAAAGCCTACGGAGTCGACAAGTTACATCCATCTATCTTAAAACAAAGCCTACGAAGTCGACAAGTTACATCCATCTATCTTAAAACAAAGCCTACGGAGTCGACAAGTTACATCCATCTATCTTAAAACAAAGCCTACGAAGTCGACAAGTTACATCCATCTATCTTAAAACAAAGCCTACGGAGTCGACAAGTTACATCCATCTATCTTAAAACAAAGCCTACGGAGTCGACAACATCTTAAAAAACTTTTGCTCTTCCTCTAGCACTAATTTTTATGTAAATAGAAAAAAATCTTCTTCCAAATCAATTTAATTCAGCAAATATAACTGCACTATATAAAAAAGGTGACAAGACTGGTTCCAAAAATTATAGACCTATATCACTTCCATGTATTACTTTTAAAATACTACAAGGCATAATTAAAAATAAGTTTGAAAAATACTACAAATTTACTTGAAACTCTAGATTATATAACAAGAAATTGGATCAAGGAATTCCTGTGGATGTAGTTTTACTTGACTTGATGTAGTCTTACTTGAAAGCATGTGTACCACATCAAAGGCTTATCTTAAAACTTGAAGCGTATGGTGTTAGTGACTATACACTTCATTGGTTTCAAGCTTTCTTATCTAATAGAAGGCAGAGAGTTATTATGGGAGATTGTCTCAACTTGGGCTGATGTGGAGTTCCTTAAGGATCTGTATAAGGTCCACTACTTTTCATACTTTATATAAATGATCTTCCTGAGTCTCTAAATAATATTTCAAAATTATATGCTGATGACACAAAAACCATGTCGATTAGTCCTTCTGATGAGTTACATAATAAACTACAATGTGATTTGAACTTTTTTTGCTTTTTTTTTAAAATTTTTTTTTTGATTGGTTGCTTAATTTTAATATTAACAAATGTTTAGTTATGCACTATGGCTATAAAAATAAGAGAATTTATATAAATGGTTGTAAACTCAACATATCAGATTCAGAAAGGGACCTAGGAGTGATTTTTTCAGATAACTTGAAGTAGAAAAATCAAGTCTTATCGAGTGCAAGCAAAGCAAACCGCATGTTAGGTATAATAAAAAAACATTTTGTTCAATTTGATGCAGAACTGCTTAATCTCTACATCTTTCCTTTGTTCGACTGTACCAGTTTGGTACAGTCGAACAAAGGAAAGATATAGAGATTTTAGTCGAACAAAGGAAAGATATTTTTTTTGCTGTACCAGTTTAAGCTCCTTATCAAAAATGAGATATTGCGATTTTGGAAAGAATATAGCGTCGTGCCACTAAACTGGTACCTTCAATCAATAAATTATGCTATGAAGATCGCCTAGCTTGTCTTAGAATGCCCTCACTAGTTAAAAGAAGACAATGTGGTGACATAATTCAAAAGTTTAAAATTTTTAAAGGTTACGAAAAAGTTGAATTTAAAAAAAATAAGTCCTTCAAATCTAATTGTACTCGTGGCCATAACCTAAAGTATTCATGTATGTTTCCTTGTTTGTCCGCAAAATAATAATTAAGTTATCGTAAATTTTAGAATATTTTGTTTTACGGACTTACATGGAAACATACATAAACTCGAATGTTCTCAAACTTTGTGCGGAAAAATAAAATAAGAATATTCGCGAACACAAAAAACCCGCTAAATCTACAAGCAACTAATTCTATTGGTTCAAAAAATACTAGCAGAAATTTCTAGAGTATTCAAAAAATACTAACCGAATGTTCTAGAGTATTCTGTTGAATTAATTTCAAAAATTGTATTATTTGAGTTTTGTTATGCTTTTGTCGAGATTTCTAGCATAAATTGTTTTAAGAATATTAAATGCTGTTTTATTATTTTAATACTATTATTTTAATACTGTGTCATTTTCGGAGCCACATCTACAAAGCTATGTCTTAAACTAACATTAATTGTTTAAAAATATAAATGTTTTAAATTTATATTTTTAAACTTGTCAAGGTTTTGTAAATATATTTTAGATTTTATTAGTATATTATTTTTTATGTATAAGGGATGCATTTTTTATGAATGTAATATATTTTTATGTATGTAATGTATTTTAATGTATGTAATTTTATGTATGTTTATTTTATTCAAATATAATCTTTCAAAGCAATTTGTGCGATTGATTTTGTAAACAAAAATACTTTCAATAATAACTGCGTTTTCAATGAAATTATTAATAATCATCAAAGTTAATGCAAATAATTTTAACCACTGATCCAGTTTCCTCTGTGTACCTGATAACTGATTCTTTCCCCCAAGAAAGAAAAGTTATTAAGTTCTTAGAAATTGGTTAACTAACTTCAATTATTTTTGCTTCAGCCATTCTTACAAACTCGTTATACTTAGCTTTTTTCTGTTTTAAATACTAATTAAAATTGTAAAGCCAACTCACTAAACATTATCAGCGGTAATGTGAAGCAGTTCCGCTTCCTCCTTACTAAGTAATTTAACATTTTTAGATAATTTATATCTAGCTATTTGAATTTCTACAGTAACTCAATGATTTAATTACTTCATTTGTTTATCTTACTAAAAAGAATAGTTTCAAATGTGTTAAACCTTTCAAACTACGCAAAGCATAAAACAGTTATTAAAAAAACTTTTTTATTTATAAATAAATCATCTAGCGTTAGTTTTACTGGTTGAACCTTGTTGGACTTTTCAGGGCCAGGGGCTGCATTATTTTTGTAGCATTTATTATGTGCCACAGCGTAAAAATGACTAAAAAAAATACCGAATGGTCCTTTTGACTGAGTCCCGGGGCTATAGCCCTTCTACCCCTCCCTTTCCCCACCTCCTCAATCCAGCACTGGAAATAAGACATAAGTATATAAATAAAAATTATATACTCTTTGATAAATTGAAGAACATTTGTTTCCTTATTAAACAATCATTAATAGTAAGTTGTTACTTTATATAAAAAATGTCGCTTAATTTTATAAAAAAGATTATAAGAGATTCAAAACGTTTCAAAAATATTTGCTCTAATCATATTTTTTTGCTTAAAGTTTTTTTGCATTAAAAGCTATTTTCTTTTTTAAATTGTCTCTTAACGGTCCAGTTAATCTTGTTGTTTAATTTTTGTTTTTTTTTGAAATGTTCTCAAAACGACTAAAAATTCTGGCCGGTTTTACGCAACTAAATATTATTTCCATGGTCAATTAACAAGTGCGATTGCACCCGCTTCCCGACCAAGCATGGCACTGCCAGAAAATGTCGTTAAAGCTAATTCAGTCAACTCATTTAAAACAAGACTTGATCAATGGGAGTCAAACCATTACAAGACTCAGCTGTCATAGTGTGCTTTAAAACCACACTCACTGGTAGCAATACCAGTCACAACATAAACTAATACTAATACTAATACTAAAATCTGAATATAGACTAGAAGAAATTTTTGGTCCTTCAAAAGGTCTTTACAAAATTTAATAATTTGTTAAACAAAAAAAAAAAAAAACAAAAAAAAAACAAAAAAAATTACCCAGAGAGTTTTATAGGATCTTTTCCTGAATCAGCATTTAAAATTCCACATTCACTACATCTCTTTACATCAACTTTATTATTAGTGTTTTTAAATGCTAACTCCATTTTATTATCTATAAGAGGACAACCATTCTTTTTCTTTAAACCTTTGTAAACAAAGTATGTTTTAATAAACAACAAATAATTAAAAATCTCAATATAATTTGACCTGAATAAACATGAAAAAAAAATATAATGATAACCATTATAGTATTAAAATACCAATATTGACGCTGTTAGATGAACAGTCAGATGAAGCCTCTTCATCAATATCCAAAGTAATTTCATTTTTGATTGGAGTAATATTTAAATCACTTTAATATAAAGCAAATGTATAAAAATAAAAATTTACAAACAACCATTAAAATATCGGAAATTCTATACTTATGACAAAAATTTCAGAAAAATTTTGCAATAAATTATTGATAACCACGGTTACCTTTGTACTTCTGATTGGATGGTCTAAAAAAGATATTAAACTGATATAAAATACAAAATATAAAACACTAAATTAGTTTAAAAAGCAATGAACTGTTAGAAACTTCAACCTTTGCAGTTGGATTTCGCTTTAATCTTGATAAATTAATTTTTACTAAAAGATCATCAAATTTCGAACTATGAGGTAACTTGAAAGCACTCTCACTGCAACTATCGCTGTCATCATCTATTAATTTTCGTTTATAAGATTGAAGCTTTTTAACACAAACTGGATTATTATCTACTCTAACTAATTCATCTGCTTCAACACTTTCCTTTTGATCGTCTCGAAAACTTTTAGCTTTTAACTTGATTTTTTTTAGAGGTATTTTGACAACCAAAGAGCTGTTCATATTTCTATCATTGCTTAATTTTAATTCAGGCTTTTCATTAGATACTAAGTCATTATAAAAATTATTTGGTTCTTCCATTTTAGAAAAAGATATGTCAGCTGAGCTATTATTTAATTTTAGCAGGTTTGTACTAATGTCTAAGTCTTTAGCTTCCATTTTTACTTCCGTAATTAAATCCTGTGATTTTTGAGTATCGTTTATTGGTTTACAGGTTAACTCCCGAGATACATTTTGAGAATCATTTATTGGTTTACAGGTTAACTCCTGTGTTACATTTTGAGAATCGTTTATTGGTTTACAGGTTAACTCCTGTGTTACATTTTGAGAATCGTTTATTGGTTTACAGGTTAACTCCTGTGTTACATTTTGAGAATCATTTATTATTTTAAAGGGTGTTATACAAGATGTTTGAAGATTTTCAACTTTAATATTTTTGTCAAGACAACTAATTTTTTCATATTCATTAGGTTCATCATGCTTAATAACATTTATATTTGTTTCAATATTTGTTATATTATTTTCTGTAACAACATACATACTATTATCAATATGAGGACTAGCACTAGCATATATTTCATTATTAGTATTAAAAGTACAATCTGTTTTTATTATATTGTCAGGTAATTGAGACAAAACTGGAGAGTTAGGTAAAGGAGTTACATGTGGAACCCACAATGAACTTTCGGTATATTGATCAACAATATAAAGTGTTGATTCTAATGAAGTGTTTTGTTTAAAGAGTGGAATAGGTAAAGTTTGTTGTATATCAGTATTATATTCAGGAGGAGTCCTTGTATTATATTCAGGAGGAGTCCTTGTAGATTTTGTTTTATTTTTATCTTTAGTTTCATTAATTTTATTACTTGCAGCATTCCTTACATCATTATTTTTTATCGTATAAATTGAGTCATTTGAAATTGATTGCATGCAATCTTGATTATAGTTTTTGTTGTTAGTTCTTAAAAATGAAAGGGCATTCCGATTAAGAGTATCACTTTTGTTATCTAATTCCTCATGGTTTTGATCATAGGGCAAGCTGTTTATTAAGTCTAAATCATCAAAAGAAATTTCACTAATTGGACTTACAGTCTTTTCTATTCCAATGTGAAATGAATCTTCAATATTTTTAAAAGTTGCATCATCTAGAATCGATCTTTTATTTAGTGGATCTATTTTATCGTCATTATCAATTATACCAATATCTTCATTAATACTATTTAAATTCTGATAGCTATTCAAAGTCGAACTGGATTCAGGGACTGATGCATTATCTTTTTCAAGTAAGTAATTATTATTAGTAGAATTTTCTTGAAAATTATCTGATGAAATATAGCACTAAAGAAAGAACTTATAATTGAATAATCATAATAAAGTATAAGCAATATCTAAAAAAAAAAAAGAAAAAAAAAAGTGTTAAACCACTAAAATAGGATTACTTGAGTAGCTTGCTCTTCTAGATCACTATCAGATTCTGAAGTGCTAGAACTTTCTGAATTGCTTGAAGAACTTGACGACACAGAAACTTTCCGTAAAGACAACCTTAAAGTTAAAAATAGTAAAATAAAACTTTTACTATATACTGCTGTGCTAAGCAAAAAGCAGTATCTCTATCTCAGCAAAATGTTGGGAAATCAACTAAACAGGTGTCACTTTAGACACTTTTACTGATCTGCTTTGAAAATAAGCATTGAAATGTTTTGAAAATAAACAAAATAACAGTAACTTCACGTTACTTAATGCTTATTTGCTACTTATTTTCATTGCTCCAAGTTTCACAAAAATTATGGACCATTTTCTTAATTTCAAACGCTCATTTTCAATGTTAAATATTGGATAAACTGCTTTTTTACTGTGAAAAATGCTCGATGTAGTTAAGGCGATTTACAAACTATGCAAATTCTTTTATTTGGAATTAGCATAATTTTATCAGTGTATGTCCAAACAAGAACTTTAGATGTTGTAATTTTTTTTGCGTCAGGTTTTTTTAATATTTAAATAAACTTTTCTTTTTTTTTATAATTTTCAAAATCTTTTTACTACCCCTAATTGTGAATCTAAAAAACACCATTTTGGAGTCTTTAGATCACTTTAGATCATCGGCGTTAACATGAATTTAGTTAAATACTTTTGAAAAACCCACTATAGTTCCTAGTTCTAATTGGTTTTGACATATTAACTATATATAGTTGTCAAAATACAATATTTTTATCATTTTTCAGACCAAGAAAGAGCATATAATTAAGAAAAATTGCCATATTATTAAAATATGATGTTCATTTCACCTAAAAAGTATATTTAGTTAAAATCATTTTTAAATTTGAAAAAGTGATCGTGATTTTAAGATTTTTTTTTTAAACAAAGAATCTTCGGTCTGGGTTTTTTTGCTACAAATATTTATATTTTAAGATACTGCAAAAATTATCATTTTAATTTTTTTCATCTTTTCATAATTCACAGACCAGATCATTTAATGGAAATATGTCGTAGTCAACAAAATATTACACTATAACTAATTGCCTTAACTACACCGAGTGGTACAAAACTACATTGTTAACCCCCAGGTACCAATATTTCAATTTTGACCAAAATTGGAGATACTGCATTTTCACTTAGCACAGCAGTATAAGTGTTGGTATACTAATACTTATAAATGTTTATATTTTTATATATAAAAGTTATATTTATAAGTGTTAATGTATTTATATTTATAAGTTATATTTATAAGTGTTAATATACTTATATTTATAAGTATTTATAAGTTATATTTATAAATGTTATATAAAAATTTTACTTATAACTATAGCTTTGTTCTTTTTTTAGATTCTTTTTTTTATTTACATATTTATTTTATCAATAGATGAAATAATACTATTATTAGGATTATTCTGTTACTCTTTATTTAATTGTAAAAACATTTTGTTTTAATTGGGAGAATAAAAATACAACCATAAAATATGATATCTCCTAATAATAAAATACATCCATAAAATATGATAAAATAATAAAACTATTCAATAAGTTGCACATTTGACATTGAACTTTTTTCATTTTGTAGAAACTTGTACTCAAAAAGCCAATAATCTCTTCTAAAAAGTTTCCTAATCTTGAATACTTTAAATTTAGTTTTTATGTATTAAATGTAACTAATATTTTTTTGTATTAAATGTAATTAATATAATTTCTTAGACAAAAAAAATTAAAATAAATAATAAAGTTATTAAAATTTACTAATCAAAAAATATTTACTTACTTTGTTTTATCTTGCAGTTTCTAAATAAAAGCATTAAAAATTTATAAAATTTCTGTTTAATGTTCAAAATCTTTTTTAAAATTGTTTATCTTTTTATATATGTTAAAAACTTTTTACTTTGATAATGTTTTTCAATGATTGAGCCACTAATAAATATTAAACTTCATCCTGTTTAGTTAATAAATTAAAAAAAAAAAAAAAAAATGGAATTCGATAGTGTTATAACTCTGCATCAAGAAAACCTTATATGAAACTTAAACATTAAATTATCACTGTCAATACTGCAGCGACTTCCACAATGGAAGATGCTTTTTACTTTCAACAGATCACAAAGTTAGCCTTACATTTGGTAAGTACTTATTAGTCAACAACAGAAGATACATAAACTTCAATAAAAAAAAAGTGTTATCTTGTACTTATTGGAATTTTAAAAAGAAATAGAAAATAGTTTAGATTAGCATTTTCCATTTATTTTTATCTTTGAAAAGATAAAAATAAAAAAATTAAGATTTTGTTCTTTCCAAAGATGAACTTGATTTAACACATCTAATGAAATATCAAATGTTTTAAATCAAAAAGTTTAAAAAGTCTAAAGATTAAGTTTGTGAATAAAATAAAAAAATCTTGGAAATAACCAAAATTATTAGGAACAATTATTACTGTATATTTGCAATGACAAAAATAATTTATTAGTGTTGTTATAGTTATTTTGATCTCAAACACCATTTAAAGGATAATTAACTGACGTTGCTCAAATAATGTTTTAATAATTGTTTACTGTTTTTCAGCTACTTCAAAACTGTAAAAAATTAGTTGTAACAATTTTAGTTATAATTGAAAATGTAATTAATATGCAACAGCAAAAATAACAAAACCTTATTTTTGATTTCATCGCAAGATTTGAATTCTTTTAATTCAGATGCCATGTTGTTTGAGTCATTTAATCCATCATACTGTACATATTCATTGGAAACATTTTTTGATAAGTCATTTGCAGAAGAACTTACACTAAAACAAAATAAATTTTATTCAAAACTTTTTTTGCATTTGAAAAAAATATAAGGAAATGAAAATAAAAGAAAATGTTAGATTTCTTTATAAATGGAAACTAACAATAAAATATTGAGAGGTGAAAATAAAATGCCAGCAAAAAATCTAAATGATAAATTGCAAGTAAATTGAATTACTTTTTTTTTTTTTGTAGTAATATCTCAATCTGATTTGTCATAAAAAAATTTGTTTTTTGTGACAATAGTTGAAATTTTTAATGTCAATAGACAGTTTCTTTTACCCCTTTTAAAAGCTTGAATTTCGACACAGTTTTGTAAATAAAAACTTTTAAAATAAATTATCATTTTTTGCTATGATTTGCTGTCACTAACCATTTTTGGTTAGTTGATTATATATACATATACATATATATATATATATATATATATATATATATATATATATATATATATATATATATAATATATATATATATATATATATATATATACATACTTAGGTCCTTAGAAAAGTTCGTAGAACTCCCCTATAAAAAAAAAATAAGAGTTTTTTTTATTTTTATTTTATTAAATGTTCAAAATAATGTCCATCATTATATATACGAAGTTACATCCTTTCAAGCCATTTGTGAAACGTTTTTTTATACTCTTCTTTGGGTATACTTTCAAGTAGCTTCATTATGCGGGTTTGTTGGCTTTCGACATCAGTATCGTGATCAAAATTTTTTTTATCAAATCGAATAGCCAATAATCGGATGAAGGCAAATCTGGTGAGCATGATGGGGGACAAATTATTGTAATTCCAGCTTGGTTTTGACAATTTGTGACGGTTTGAGTTACAAGGGGTCGAGCGTTATCATAGAAAAATTTGCTTGAAAAAAAAGATCATCTTCAAGACTCTCTCTACCATATTTAAATAAAGTAGCCCATTTGGCAACTGCACTATATTTTGGAGCTTGGTCACCATGAACTAAAACCAATTCATTTGTTATGGCTTGTGCTAAAACTCCAAATAGAGCACAGGTTTTAATATATGCTCGATATTCAAGTTTTTCTATTTTTAAATTTTTTCTTTCAAACGTATATAATAAAATTTAAATAACTTTTTAATAAACAATCAAAATATTTAAACAAATACTTAAAACATTCATAATTAAACACAGTTCAAGATGATATAAAAATATTTAACTATTTCCTGTCTTATTGTAACTTTATAGATAAAGTTCTACAAACTTCTTTAACGACCTAAGTATGTGTGTGTGTATATATATATATATATATATAAATTAGTAGAAAATCACTTATCAGAAATGACGAGTCTTTATTGATGAAACAAGTGTTAAATGAGAAAAAATTTTGTTAATTGATTTTCTACTAATTTGTAATTGCTCTGTTCTTTTAAGAATATTGAGCAATCTTTTTGTATAATACATTTTAAATTGTTTAAATATATATATATATATATATATATATATATATATATATATATATATATATATATATATATATTCTTACTCTATTTTTGTAATATTAATTTAAACAACATTTTCAGAAAAAGAAGAAAAAAACAAAGAATAATGAAAGAAAAGATTGCTGCCTCATGCCAAACTCTCAATCAATGTAGTGGCACTCTCTTGCTGCAGCAGGCTATAAGATAGTCTATGTATGTACTTTTACTCATAAAATAGTGAAAAGCAAAAAAATTGAAAGTCAGGAAAAAAATTGAAATTAGTGAAACTTAAAAAACAGTGAAACCAAGACAGCAATGCCACCAAAAAATAGCAAGATTTAGAAAATATCGAGACCAAGAAAATAATGAAACCAATCAATCTCAAAATACAAAAATTATTTTACCATAATTAATTGGATGCACCATAATGTATAACACAAAGTTTTTTTGTTTTCTTGTTTACCTTAGATCTACTGTAGCAAGACAATTGGACGCCACATTCACCTAATTGATATTAAAAATAAAAATAATCTAACATTTATTACTAATCAATCTATATAAAACATATAAACCTCATAATATTTTGTTAAACTTCCTGTTTATTGAGCTCAAATATTTTTTGCTCAAGAACTACATAATTCAAATAAAAATTTTACTACATCTTTGATGTTGTTTTCTAATTATATTTCTGTGCTTTTCCCAAACTATATAATATTTCAAATGTATACATTAGTTTGCTAAAACACATCATGTGATCGTAGTATGAACATAAAAAAAGTTATTGGGATATATGATACTTAAAACTTTAAACCACTGTGCCCTCAAATTCCATTGTACTGTACCCTCCCCTACATAGTTGTAATATACATTATATATATAGTGTATATATATATATATTTATATATATATATACTATATATATATATATATATATATATATATATATATATATATATATATATATATATATATATATATATATATATATATATATATATATATATATATATATATATATATATATATATATATATATATATACAATTCAATGTTAAAAAAAGTTTAATACCTTAGATGGAAAAGAAAAAAAATCATTTTCAGAACGAGGTGTTTGAATCTCTGTAAGTAAAGGTGGCAAACCCTGTGTCATCTCCTATAAATAAAGTCCTTAAAATAAAAAAAAAATATTTCGCAGACTTATAAAATATTTCTAATTGCAAACTTATTATCTTGTTAATAAAAAAAAACTTATATTCAAAATTTAAAACAACAATTAAAACAAAGATAATGGTAATAAATATTATAAATTGCTAAAAAAGCTCATTTCAGCACTTATTCCTGCTAAGTACCATTTGAATTTTTTAGTGAGATTATATATCAACACAATATATGAACCGATGTATGTCAAAAGGGCAGAAGTCCAACAATGCAAACGTTTGGGAAACTAAAAAAACTGCATTTTCCCCTATAATGAGTCTTCTACCCTTCATCTTCTAGGATTAACTCTTACTTCTGATCTTTCTTGGAAACCTTATATCAAATCCGTTGCAAAATTAGCATCTGCTAAAGTTGCTTCTCTTTATCAAGCTCGTCACTTTCTTACTCTGGATTCTATTCTCTATCTCTATAAATCTCAAATCCGGCCTTGTATGGAATACTGTTGCCATATCTGGGGTGGATCTTCTAATGATGCCCTTTAGTCTTTTAGACAAGGTGCAAAAACGCATTGTAAACATAGTTGGACCTACTCTTGCAGCCAACCTTCAACCTCTGTCACATCGTCGTAATATTGCTTTTCTTTCTCTTTTCTACAAATACTATAATGGGCACTGCCCTAAAGAGCTAGCGTCTCTTGTGCCATCTACAAAAATCCATTCTTGTGTTACTCGTCATTCAATTAAGTCTCATCCTTTTTCTGTTACTGTTCCTAAGTGCTCCAAAAACTCTTATTCATCTAGTTTTTTTCCTGGAACATCAGTTCTTTGGAATTCGCTTCCTTCATCTTGCTTTCCTGATTCATATAATTTGCAATCTTTTAAGTTGTCTGTCAATCGTTATCTTGCTCTACAATCTTCATCTTTTCTCTTCCAGTAACTTCCAACACTAATTAGTGGTTGCTTGCAGCCTTGTTGGAAGCGAAGATGTTAAAAAAAAAAAATAAATAATAAAAAATTAATCACTTTTTGTTAATGATTCAATATTTTTTTTTGAAGGTGAAAAAAAATTCCTCTTCAAAAAAAAAATTATTAAACCATTAACAAAAATGAAGGAAAAACTATGGGGGAAAACACAGTTTTTCTTTAATTTACATTGTTGATTCATATAACCTTGGCAATACAGAAAGCAGTTAAATTTATACACCTTAATTAAAACCTTAAAAGCCACTAAAAATATTTGGCTTTTGTACTGTTTTTGTAACCTCGATTTTGTAAATAACCAATTAGTTATAAATGGTTATATCATTTCGTAAAAATATAAATTTTATAAATACATAATTTTGTAATTTTTATAACTATATTTTTGTAACTATTGTGATGTATAAGTTATTAGAATATCTAAAGAACTTAAATAAACAAAATAGCTTGAAATAAAACAACATTTCTTAGGTTTTATTGACCTCGCTAATTCATATAAATCTGTATATATTTGATACTGAAAACATTTAAACACAGAAAGCTATATAATGCAATGTACCATGTCAGTCATTATTTTTTATTTAACAAGGCACAAATAGTTAAAAAAAGAAAAGATAAAAGATAAAATTCTTTTTACCTCTATGAAGAGGTAAAAAGAAAAATAAAACACTCAAAAAAAAGTTTGTGCTAAAGCGCTTATATAAAAATTGATTACCTAAACTGAAACATTTTATATTTAAACCCAGAAAACAGTTATCTCCCAAAAAATATTAGAATACAGAAAATAATGAAACCTAATATACAACAAAAACCACAAACTAAAACTTAAGTTCAAACCCAGAACAGCAAAACCTTGAAAGCAGAAAAATCTAGAAAACCAGTATGAAGCAACCATACCAACAAAGACTTTAAGCTAAAACTTAGAGTGAAACCCTGCAAACTTATACAAATTTAAAATAAATCATTCAAATTGTAAACGTTACTAAGCCGATTGCTTTTGATCAAGAAATACCAACTGTTAGTTACACAACACTATAAGACAAGTACCAACTGTTAGTTACACAACACTATAAGACAAAGACATTGATAAATATAAAAAAAATAAAAAATAAACTTACACTGTTGCATTTTAAAAAAAAACCTATTGCACTCTTACAATTGCTTGTATAATTTGACAAGTAAAGCTGCATCTTAAAAAACTAATAAATCTTTTGTCTTAAAGATGTGAAAATGAACTCAGACAGATTTTACCAATTTTGATTTGAGCTGTTATGAATTCAGCCAGATTAACTTTTATTGTAACAAAACCTTAAGATTGAGGCATATAAAAGAAAGTTTTCAATAAAGATGCTTGAATATTATCAAAAGTGAATGATTTCAACAATCCCATCATAGCTTTAAAAGTAGTACATATACAAAGAAAAAAGATAGTTGCTAGCAGTTTTACTAGATTTTTTTATAAAATTTACATGAACATGTCAATTGGGATGCAGCTTCTTAATTCTATTTCCAGAATTTTACATCTGGCATCATATTGCATATAAACTTTGTTATATTTAAGCCCAAAACAGTGTTAACTTTTACAGTTCAAACAGTATTTAAAATTCAGTGCTAATGCAATGTATCAAAGTCATGTAAGAATGTTTTATCTTATTTTAAATTTTCTCAATATTTTGCTAAAAGAAATAAACTAGATCATATCAGACATTATTCAAACATGGTTCAAGCATGGTTTCTAGCCTTCCAAGTACATTATTATGCACACTCTCTTCAAACTTTAAATTGATGGAATAAATTAGTGCTAACTATTAAATTCGCTAAACTATTCAATAATCAATATTCAATGATATCCAAATGAACTAATTTTGATTTGCAATAATACCTATTTTTAGAAAAAAGTGAAAAAAAGTCATACAATGTGATGTAAATATTTAAGATTTATAGCAATCTGTTAAAAATACAGTTGCATGTTTTTTTTACTAATTTTATTTCTTAAGCTTTCAATAATTTATAACTACCATCTTGGATTATAGATACAGCATTGAATTTTTTTTTTAGATAATATTATCTGAAGCTAAAAAAACCCACTAAATCTCATGTTTGTATCATTATAAAAAATATTCTATACTAATAACACTTTTAATGTTTCCATGATTCAACACTTGAGTGATTTAAATGAGTTCTGATAATGCCATTTTCTTGTTTAAATGACACTAAGTAAGAGCTAGCCAATGATGTTTTTATGAAATTAAAAATAAAGAAATAAAATAAAAAAGAAACAAAAAACTGATTACCTTCAAAATACTTTCTATTTCATTTGGTGTTTTACCCTAAAATAAATTAAAAATAAAACTATACTAAATCCCTGTCTAAAATAAAAAAATTATCTTTTAAATATTTAACTAAAAAATTTATAATTTTCACACCTGTGAGTGTTTATTATTTGTTAAATGGTTACTTGTTGAGTTACTATTTGGGATCTTTAACTTTAAAGATTGATCATTTTCAGGTCCATTACTTGTTTTTATAGGTTCCAAAAAAGTGTGATCATTTTTCTCAATTTTGATATTTTCTAGAGTCTTCTTTAGTGGAACCGATGAATGGGAAGAAAATCCATTTTTTCCTTTTATCATTAAATTTGTATACCCATTGCTTGTGTTTTCAAAATCAATATCCTTTACTTCAGGAGTTCCTGGCACAGTGTTATCAAGTCCTAAGTACTGAGCAGTTTCCTTTGCTTCAATTAAATTCATAAATGTTGCATAGTCACCCAACACATGCTAAAATAATTTTATATATTAAAACAGTTATATATATTTTATTAAAACTAATTAAATATTAAAAATTTTATTAAATAAAAAATATTTTATATATATAAGTGCGTTTCATGTGCCTACATGAAACGCACTTTGTTTGAATAAAAAAATACATAAAATATTCTCATTTTTAAATAATCAATTCAGATAATATAAAAAAATATATAAGTATAAATTTTTATAAAATTTTTATTAAAGTTACTTTTTTATTCAAAATATCCATCGACAGAAGAAAAATTTGTTGATTGCTTATAAAAAATTTAAGCAAAATAATCTAGCAATCTTGTGAATATTTAGACTATGCTAATTTTATAAGTTACATTTGTTCAGGTATCAGAAACAACTGGCAATTAAAAAAATACTTTAAAAAACTTAGCTTAAATTAATTTAATTGTTGTTTGGTTTCAATATAATGATTGATTTTATCATTTGACAGCTAGTCTCAAACTTAATGAATGATAAAATAAAGATAAACCAGAGAAAATAGAAGCATAAAATATTTTTCAATTTAAAATCGTCTCAATAGTTCAAACCTAATTTATTTAATTTAAAAGCATTTCAATTAAAAATTTAAAGTTAATAATTTTTCTTATATCATTATGATAGTGGAACAATTAGGTTGATTTTATTGTTTTATTTAAGAAGCACGGCTGTTAGTTCGGCATTGGATGAGAGCTCAAATCTTTATAACGAACAAATTTTTTTTGTATTATTTCCTTAGTAGACATCAGAAAATATTAAATTTTCAAGCTTTAAATAACTTCTCTAAATTCTATTTAGTTAAACAATTTTAAATTGAAATAAAGACATATTAATTATATACTTTTATTTTTTCTGTTTTTTTTTTTTTATAATTTTATTTTATCATTTGTTAAGATTTTTTTTTTTTTAGTTTAGTTATTAATTTTTTTTTTTTTTAGTTTTTATTTCTTGTTTCAGTTTATGGTTGCAGTTTATTTTTAATTTTAGTTTAAGTTTACATTTATTTATTCAGCGCACTTTGGTAAAAAAATTTAACATAAAATTGCTGATTAAAATTGCTGATTAAATTGCACTTTTAAGTAAATTACAGGTTGGTACAGAGGAGAGAAGCGAGCCATCAAGTTTGCTATTCCGCAAATTTGGCAAGAACCAACAGACTACTCAAGCAACTGCTACTTCTGCATGGTAAACCAAAAATATCATCATGCAGGGAAAAATGCCCCTCAGATCATTTATCCAGACATACAATTTCCATTACCCGCACACAGTACCATACAGCCCCGATATGCCTGTTCCAACCCCTTTTAGGAGGCATCGGCCATCTTCAGGAGACAGCAGCAAGTCAAACAGCAAGGCAGATACTGGAGATATGGATATGATTCTGCAGATAAAGTTGGGGATAGAAAGTCATACTTCCCTAAACAGAAAGACATGAACAATTTAATTAGGGACCTCAGGCTTATGAAATCGAATGCTGAGCTTTTGATACCCAGGCTCAAACAGTAGGACGTGGTTGATGATAGCGTACAATTCACGGATCAAAGTAAGAGGCATCAAAGATTCTCCAACTTCTTCAGTCAGCATGATGGGCTGTGCTTCTGCAGTGATGTTGCCGGTATATTCTAGGCTATAGGTATCGCATGTAATCCTATTGAATAGCGCCTATTCATAGACAGTTTATCTTGGAGCCTAAAAGCTGTGTTGCTTTACTATGGAAATAACTACCCGTCTCTCCTGATGCCCCACTCTGTGTATCTCTAAGAGAACTAAATCAGACTTAAAATGTTGCTGAGAGCATTAAAGTATAATAACTACGGATGGGAGGTCATTAGTGACTTCAAAATGATATCATTTCTCATGGGTCTTCAAGAAAGTTTCACAAAATTTCCTTGTTTCCTGTGTCTGGGACAGCCGTGACATCAAGACACATTATCGTACAAAAGACTGGGCACAATGGAACAAGTTTTTTGTTGGGAAGAGCAATTTAAATTGGGAGCCACTGATAGAACCTCATGAAGTGCTGTAACCTCACCTCTGCACATCAAATTAGGCCTCATTAAGTAATTTATCACTGCTCTTGACAAAGAGTCAACAGCATTTTAATACCTTCAAGGTTTTTCCATAGCTGTCTGAGGCTAAGGTCAGGGCTGATATATTTGTCGGACCACAGATCAAAAACATCATAAAATGTGAGGATTTTGTAAAGCTGTTGAACAGGACAGAGAGAGTGGCTTGGAACAGTTTTGTTGCAGTTGTTCAGGGCTTCCTAAGTAATCACAAAGCTGAAAACTATATGGAGTTGGTGTAGACTTTCATAAAGAATTACGCCAAAATGTGATGCAGAATATCTCTGAAAGTCTATATCCTTGATTCGCATCTTGACAAAATCAAGAACATGGGCACTTACTCCAAGAAACATAGGGAGCGCTTTCATCAAGATATATTGAACTTTGAACATCATTACCAAGGACAGTGTAATGAAAACATGATGGAGTATTTCAAGGCTACTTCGAGAGAGCGATTCACAGAACAATCGTAAACCTAGAAAATCTAAACATTTCTGAACCATGTTGAGTGGTTTCTGACTATGTTTATTTATTCTTTGTGCAATTTTTATTTTTGCCAGATTATAATGACAAAAATGAAAAAAAAAACGTTCTAACTTTACAAAAAAACAAGTTTTCTTTGTGCTGTTGTCATGTAAGCAAAGTTTGTGTTTAATAGTCATTTTTTTCACATATTTCACATAAGCAATTGAAATACTTAGAAGCCAGGAACAAAAATTGTGTTACATAGTGCAATACTTTAATAAAGTAATGTCAAAAAACATAAAAAAAGAAATTCAAATTATATAGTTGTGGAAAAAGAGTAAAGACTCCATCAACTTTAACATCAGAAATTTATATTCAAGAGTATCTTTAAAAAGACTTTTGCCACTCATTTGATTGCACACTTTGTTTGTTTTGGACTAACTTAGCTTCATGTCACTACATTAAAATAACTTTGGAGTGCTATAAATTGAGAAAGGTTAATTTTGTACCAAAAAAGCTCAATTCACTAAATTACCTACAACTCCCGCCCATCGAAAAATATTGAGGAACTTGTAAAGGATGTTTGCATAAAACAGGCAAGACTATTAATTCAGTACAAGAATTACTGAAGGCATGGTCAACCATAAGCAAAAAAATGACAGTTGTGCAGAAACTATTGGGCACCATCATCAGTAATGTACAATTAGTTTTTAGAAATAAAGAAAAATTTTGAAACTAAAATTATTTTAATATTATTTAATTTCTTAATTTTAAATAAAAATTAAAGAAATTTGTAAAAAATTTTAAATATTTTCGAAAAGATTTATCCTTCTCATTTTTTTCAATCTTATCCTTTATATATATATATATATATATATATATATATATATATATATATATATATATATATATATATATATATATATATATATATATATATATATATATATATATATATATATATATATATATATATATATATATGTATTTATATATATATATATAAAACACGCTAACAAGAAGTATAAAAAATTGTTCATTAAATTTGTTTTTTTGCAGGTTGCAGGTTTAAAAAAAACAACCAATTTTAATGTAGTTCGGCAGTAAGGTTTTGATTTCTTTGTGACAAAAAAAGTCATTTTAAAGTTGCAGTAGCAAAATAGATATATTTAAGACTTTTTTTCTTATTTGATGATTATTTGATATAATTAAAAAACCTTTAATAAACTGGTTAAAATCTCAAACTTCTTTGTACATTTTTTAACCCGGATCTATTTTCAAGACCTAAACATATATGTTTTAAAGTGAGAAATCAGTAAAACTTGTAAATTCAAGTTTTATATTTTTCAAACTACAGCAATTTTTTAAAATGTTAATTCACCAAGATCTAGAGCACCACTACAGCCGAGGATGTGAATTATTTGTGATTACAACCCTCTCTCAACTCTACAACCTCAAAACACAATCCTTGATGAACAAAACTGCTGTGCGGAGAAACAACATTTTTTAGTTATTTTTTGTTTGTTTTTTTTCATTTTTTTATTATTAGGATGTAAAGATATTGCAGTTTCCAGTCAATTATCTTAGAAACAGTTGTAAAAGAATGCTAAATATTCTCTTGTTAAAATAAATAGTTTTTATTAAAAAGAACCATTGATAAAGATTTAGAAATTTTTATAAAAATTTGAAATAAATATGAAGCTATAAAAATTTTTTACAGCGCTTTGCTATTATTTTTTTTCTATACAAACAGTTTTGTTTAAGTGATTTAAAAATAAACATTTTTTCAGAAAAGCTTTAAATCAAACTTAAACCTAATAACAACAATAATAATTGAATTAATAGTAATTAGTATTAATATTTACCTTAATAGTTGTGGACAGAAATGATTCATCTTGTGGCTAAAAAATATGTAAAAAACAAAATATCAAAATCATAGAAAACAAAAAGTTTCTTATATACAAAGAACAAAAAAAAAAAATTTGATAATTTTTCTTTTTTTTGCAAAAACTAACTATTATAAAAAGCTAATTATAGTTGATCTAAGTTGAATAAATATAAGTGAAAAAACAATGAAGCAAAACTTAAAATAAAAACTACTTACACGCCTTGGTTCAATATTGAACATCCCATCAAACCTCTTAATTTAAAAAAACAATTATTAAACATTTTTTACAGTCAAATTATAGATAACATGACCAGACAATGAAATGCAAATAAACAACGTGTTATTACTTTTCAAAAATGTATATTTTAAACATATGTTAGTCTTAAAACTTGTTAAAATATTACCATTTATTGAGGTTTTAAATATTAAAATAAAAAAAGACTAAAAAAAAAAAAAAACCTTAAAGGCTTGAGATGCAGCTTGTGCAGTAGCCTTTTTGTGTCTCTCTTTCATTGCTTGTTCTTTAAGTAACTTGATTTCAGATATGCTAAAAAAAGTTTTACTTCAATCAACCTCTGAAAACTTAAAAGAATGAAATAATTAACTTATATAATATTGATTCGCAACAGATATTACAGAATAGCAGAACTTATTACTATTATATGGGTGGTTACTAAGTAACTAAACTTTAACCATTTTGAAACCTTAGGCAGTTTATTAAAATAAGCCTATTAAAAATGAAAAAAAAAAAAAATGAAAACAAAAAATTCATTTCTTAATTTCATTCTTTGAAATTAATTAAATTTTTTTATATTATTATTATAAAAATGTTAAAATAATAACTTGCCTGTTTCTGACAAAGTGATATGTGCATTTTTCAACAAAGTTATAACATGTGTATTAGAGTGCATTAAAAAACCTCTTTTTTCAAAAAAAAGATTTGGTCCTATTCTTAAATTTTTTTACTGGTTCTCATAAGCAACTCTGTTAAATTTTTCTAAAATGTAATTTAAAATGTAGTTGGGTTTAGAGTAGTGATGAAAATTTATCAAGTAGGGAAATTAAAAAAAAAAATTATGTTATTTCAAAATTATTTTATGAGTAGAAAAGTAAAATTTTATCTTTTATTAGTAATTATTAAGTAATTTTATGCCAACTTATGGTAAAATATTGCAAAGTAGATTATAAACTTATGGTAAAATATTGCAAAGTAGATTATAAACTCATGGTAAAGTATTGCAAAGTAGATTATAAACTTATGGTAAAATATTGCAAAGTAGATTAGTGACCTTCAGCACTGTAGCATGCTAAAATAGCACTGGAGGCTAGACACAACTTGTGTCCCCACCCCTAAAAAGGAGAGGGTCAAAAACTCTACTGTTTTCGGTAAATAGCACCAAGTGAATAACTTGTTTGTGCATGTGTGTTTTCATAACAATCATACTAAGCAAAGTATTTTATTACTATTATACTGAATATTCAGATCATTTATTGGGTTTTTCTTACAGATATGGTAAAAAGTGTTATAAAAAATTATAGGCTGTGGAAACCAAGATGTCAGGTGCTATAAAAACATTATGAGCATATGCAGGCTTTGTTATAAAGTGTAAACTGGCGCATTTACATATGGTGCTAAGCCATTAAACATAAGCAGTAATTTACGGAAGCCATTTTGAATCAATTTTTATTATTTAACTAAGTCTAAAGAAATCATTGAAGCAGTAAGATAAATTAAGTAAAATAATGCTATAAAAACCACTTGAGAAGTTTGAATTACACAAAAAAGTTTGCATGACAACTACATTTAATATTCGCGCTGTTTACAAATGTAATAACTTATAAAAAAAAAACAAAGAAAATTTTATTTTTACTAACCAAACTTTTCCATCAAAAATGTTCAGTAAAAGAATAAAAAAAATATTTTGTAAGCGTGTAAAAAAAGAAATCATAAAATAAATTTTATCACCTTGCACAAACTATAACAAAAATAATTACCTAATTGAAAAAAATAAATAAAAAACAAAACAAAAAATTATTAGCTAAAAATAGTATATGTTAAATTATTAGGTAAAAATAGTATATGTTAAATTTTTTTTCATATTAGCACCACTTTTGATATTTAAATTTTGTTTGTTTTGTTATAATGATTGATTTTATCAAAAAAAAATGAAAAATCATTATTACCAACTTTAAACGACATCTTATAAAGAGTTTATTTTTTCATTTAAAAAGAAATTTTCTTTCATGGATATAACTCTATTATTACTACTTTTTTCTTGAATTTACACTAGAAGCAATATAGCTCTTGCAATGTCTTTTTTTATATTTACAAGTTTTATTTTGCGAAAAATAATAGTTTAGAAAAATAATATTTTATAATAGTTACATCAGCTTTATATAAATAACAAATTATGCAATATCAAAAAATTAAAAACAGAAATTTCCTTATAATTAAGAAAGAATTTTGATTAAAAAATTTAATTAAATTTAAAAAAATTATTATTTTTTTTTTTCTTCTTGGTTTTTCTTCCTCCTTTTCTATTTTTTACAAAAAATTAAATTCCTTGTTAACATGTTATGACCTTTATAATCTGCATCAAAAATATTAATAAAGCATACATTAGCTTTTTTGTTTTAGGCAAGTGAAAGCGCAACGGTATATATTTTTTAATAAATGATACTTGGAAACTTAAATCTTTGTTTGTCACACAAAAAATGCGCTGGTAAAGTAATTAACTTGAGTTTTTTTCTTTGCAACAATTAATTTTTTTTCTTTGTTAATAACTTTTTAAAAGTAAAAAATTGTTATGTGCAAAGCTGCAATTTTTTAAATTTATTTATACAAATGTCGAGAGAAGAAAGAAATTAATTTATGTTAAATGATAATAAAAAATGTAATAGTAAATTTAATAACTTAAAATTAAAAAAATTGAAACAAAATAGACATTCTGCAATATGTACATTTAAAAAATAACACTTCTAGATTTGTTTTTCTTAATTTGTAAAATAAATTTTTTTGCAGTAATTTATTTTGTTGCGGTAGTTTAAAAAAGTGAATAATTTTGAATAGTAAAAAACATAAAGATAATTTCTACAAGATTTTTTAAATATAATTAAAACTGTGCCAAATTTTTGTCACCAGAGGTTAAGATTGCCAGGAAGATTATTAATGTAAATAAGAAAAAGGATAGAACCTTATGGTACTCCAGAAGTTACTGGAAATGAAGAAGACTGTTGGTGAGGATAACTTTAATAAAGTGGTAAGAAAGAAATTATTTGATTTTATTAAAGCTTTAGATATGCCAAGAGCAATAGCTTTTGCCTTGCTGCCCCCATCTAATGCACAATAGAATTTTTCAGTTAGAACAAGTTAGTCATAGAACAAGATCAAAAACAATATTGATTGTCAGAGAGAAAGTTATTAGACTCTAAATGAGATGTTAGAAAATTGTTAATTATAGACTCAAAGACCTTGGAAATAATAGAGAGAAGATTGATTGGATAATAGTTAGAGGGGTCAGGGTAGTGGTAAGTAGTGCAATGATAGGATCCAAAGATGAAGTATGAGATTAAAGAAGACTTATAGAGATCATTGCATAGTCAGAACCACCTAAAGAAGAACAAGGAGAAGCTGAACACAAGCTAGGGTCAGAGACAAGAAACAAATTAAGAAGTGAAGGTAGGGATTTGAGTTGTCTGGAAAACAATTCAAAAAATTAATAAAATCTGAGTAAGAGATTGAAAAAATAAGTTATGAGTTTTAAAGCCAGCAGGGTCAGTGTCAATTATGAGTTTTAAAGCCAGCAGGGTCAGTGTCAGTTATGAGTTTTAAAGCCAGCAGGGTCAGTGTCAGTTATGAGTTTTAAAGCCAGCAGGGTCAGTGTCAGTTATGAGTTTTAAAGCCAGCAGGGTCAGTGGTGTTAGAGCCAAGCCATTCAATGTAATAAGTATTAAAGTCAATAATAACAACAATATTGACAAATGAATAAAAAGAAAAGACTCAGTCAATTTGATCAGAAATATGCTAGAATGCAATCTTGAGAAGGAGAACAACGAAGGAGAAAGGTGATTGAGTGAAAAGGTGCTAACCAGAAGCACATAAAAGAATGGTCAGAGGATTAAAACCTTATCTGTCAACAAATAGGCACATTGATGTGTAAGTAGGTGCTCAAGCCAAGTATGTGACTATTGGAATATTTGGGGATCATAGGATAGTAACCATCAATACTAAGATCTGAAGAAAAAACATCTGAATTCAAGTTAGTCTCAAGAGCAAGCAAGTCAGGAGAATTTTGCAATATGTAAAAATTAAAAGAAGAAAAGCTACTTCAAAGACCACAAATATTTGTGAAAGATATTTTGTTAAATGGTGATGATGGTTTTTTTACATTAAATATTTTTGAATAATTTAGGCATGACATCCTAAGCACTGAGCTATGCAGTTGTCTCAGTCCTGCTAGTTAACCTAAAGTTGTAACTTAGGGTTCCTTATGTGGTCTTGACAACGCAAGCATCAACAGGGACACCGTCCATGTATTAATACATATTGTATACGTCTAAAACACATCATGTGCCTACAGGGTACTCTGGTTTTTTTACAGCTCTTTACAGATAGGAATCAGCCTCTCTGAAATCTACCAAAGAGTTTGCAAAACCTAAGAATAATAGTTAAAAGTAAGAATAGTCGAATAGTCATTACCAAAGAGGCACAAGCAAAAATCTATGATTAGAGTCAAGAAAATCTAGTATTTATCATCCTAGGCAGGAAACAATCTAACACAGGTTTACATCTATGCTAGCCTAATAGATGAAGAAAGGGTGCAAGGCTGGTCAACAGATGTATTCTGCTTACCCCTAAAGTCTTTGCTTAGGAGGCTTTATACAAGACAGTAGCGGGATGCAGTTAACTTCTGCTAAAGATGAATGTTTTTATAAAGACACTATCTTGATCTTTTATTTAACCAAGGGCCTTAAGGCAGGGGAAGTTTTAGTCAGTGTTTATTTCTCCTAGTCCTAGCCTAGAAAAGCCCTACAAATCAGCAGGCATCGAACAGATAGTACTGGGCTACATATTACCAGTAGCAGGGTGATTGTGATGATCCTGAACCTTAACTGACCTAGAGTTCCTTATATTTAGCAAGAAAATGAAACTATAAAATATAAGTTAATTTTGCAATTTATTATATATATGGATTTATTATAAGGTTTCTAGGATAAGAATAGAAGGTTATTCTAATTGTAATCTAAAACTGTTTAAGATTTACACAGTTAAAATACACAAAATATAAATTATATCTCAAAATATATAAAAAGTTTTTTTTTTTTAATGCTTCAACTTTAATGAACAGTTATTTTCATTATTTTATTTTACAACAAAAACATTTTTTTTCTTCAATAAGTCAAGTACCATGTAAATATTTAGCTTAGTATTTAAAAGCTGCGAGTTTGCAATAAAATATAGTAACAAAATAAGTTCCATATTTTTTTACTATATTTTGTGATGGCAAGATTGTTAATATTTAAAAATCAAGGCAAAATTGTAAATAT